GTGCGAGCGGCGTGAAATGAGCGCCGGAATAGAATCTGAGTAGATGGTGAGCTTGGGTTACGATAGGTGGTAAAATACGCCCTAAGATGCGATGCCTGGGTAATCCTACCGAGGCGTCGTGTAGAACCAAGGCGATGGGGGTGGAGCCCCAGTGGCTAGGAGAGACTACCCCGGCTGCAAAGTCGACCACAGAGAGGTGCTCCGCGGCAACAAAGCGCAGCATGTCCAGATTGTCTTGCCAGGAAGCGACTGCGGTCAAAGATGCCCGCACCAACCTTGAAATAAGATCAACGAGCATGCTGTCGATGTTCACCGAGCCCCAAATATGGAGGCAGAGCGTATCCTCGCGAGAGAAGGAAGTGGGTGGAATGTGAAGAACACGATGAAGGGCATACAATTCTTGACGAAGCAGGTGCTTGGGAAGAAGGGAAAGTTGTCCGATTGATCCTAGAGTAGGGAACGCATGGACGTCGCAAAGAATTGCAGCCGGAGAAGGGGAGCACCACCAGCAGCAATCGCGGAGACACGCGAGTGATATTTCTCAGCAGGCGCGCGCCACGTGAGGTTACCAACGATAGTCCCAAGATGTGCGCCGTGAAATTTTGCGACTGGGGCGACTGACGCGTCGATCCAATCGGGGAGGCACCCGGTAATCCAAGAACGAATCGTCGCTTCGAGGTCGTCGGACCAAGGGCGAACAGGAACCAAATAACACTTCCGAAATTTGAGAGTGAACCCTGCCAGAGGCCTTGCAAACTTGAAGATGCTCGCCATTGTAGGAAGGTGTTCCAACGATTTCACTGCACTGCCAACGTCGTCCGCACAGGCGCGTACAATCCCCTTGTTATGCTGGATGATGGCGAGCTCGAACCAATTCAAGAAAGGGTCGAAGGCCAGGGCGAAGCAGAAGCATGTCAGAGGGCACCCCTTGATAACTCCCCGCATAATGAGAAATAAGGTTGTTACTTTCGCTCCAGCGCGGCCGACTGCAACGACTTACGCGCGAGTGGCACGAATAACATGCACCAGGCCAAGCGGCGCTCGAGAGGCAGAAGCAACGAGAAACAACCACTAGTGAATCATCGAAGGGAACGCGTTCCCGAAGTCAGTGGAGAAAAGGAACGGGCAGTTGAGGGCTGGCTGCATAGCGTACGCTCTGCCGTGAGAATCAAGATCGACGATGTAGTCCAAAAAATTTCGGCCGGCCGCGAATCCATTCTGTAGACGAGAGGCTTTCTCTGCGACTGCATGCTTGATGTACGAGTGGGTCGACCCGCGTATGATCTTAACGTCGGAGCTCTTGATCCCAATCGGTCTGGTCGCCATGGGCTCCCGCACGATTGCACGGTCGTCGTCTTCCTCGGTGCCCTTCGGGATGAAGATGGCGAGGGTGTCATTGAAGCCGGCTGGAAGGTGCAAGCCGGAAGATATCCAGGCTCCCACTTGATGGAGAAGGGTCTATGCTTGAGGTCCAGCACGAAGCCAAACACAATAAGGGATGCCATCGATATCTGGCGCCGTATGCCGAACGCGACGGAGAAATCTGTAAATGTATACAGAGGAAGGTGGGCCGCTGTAGTCGTGCATGGTGAAGTCCGAGGAAAACCGCGCGGCAACCGAGCGGGCGAGATCCTCATCGATGGGAGGCACTGTGGAGAATACCGGCTCCCAAGCGTGTGCGAGCGTCCGCGTCTGCTCGTACTCCTCCTCGATGTTCCTGTCGCCGCTGCGGATAGCTGTGATGTGGCACTGTTCTCCGAAAGGTGTCCAGATCTTCCGGAGTCGGTCGAAGGCGGTGCGTCGGCGACGACTCGCGCTCCATGGAGAAGAGGATGTCCGAGATTCATGAAATCGTCGCTCCAAGGCTGCGGACCTGATGGCGTTGTACAAGGATGAGAACGCCGACGGATCAAGTAAGCGAACACGGCCGTTCTCAAGGGCGAGATGTTGCCGAGCAAGCACTGCTCCTCCCAACAGGGTGAACGCGAGCTTGGTGTCATTGTGCCAGACAGCCCGCGCGACAGACGAGCACACGGAGGCGCGAGCATCGGGAACAGCAGCAGGAATAGCGAGAAGTAGATGTCTGGTCATTCGCGTCGCAACCCGAATAAGGCGTTTGAACTCCGCAAGCCGCAGTGGCACCGAAAGAGACGCGAGGTCAGTGGCATCCAAGAGCAATGTAATACGCTCAGAAAACAATCGATGATCAACAAAAAATCGAAGAATAGGACGAAGATGCTGTGGAAGTTGGGGACGGTAGGAAAAGAGGAAGGCAATAGTGGCGTGGTCGCTGATCTCCTGTTGATGGCAATAGAAGGGGTCTCGCAAGAGCTTCGCGTGCAGCCCGAGCTGAAGGACGAGCCATGGGGGCGAGGCAACGTAGAGACGATCCAGCCGGCCAGTAGATGAAGGAGTAGAGTTTACATGCGTGTCGAGGGATTCGTGGACCTCCGTGAGCTGATCCAGCATGCGCTGCCACGCAGCCTGGTGAGGGCCAGCTGCCGGGACCCTGTGGTGCGAGAGCGTGGATGAGCCAGGATCGGAGAAGGGTCGTCGGAAATCGCCAGGGGCGAGAAAGTTGGAATCGCCAGCAACTGCCATGAAGTTGTTGTGCGGGTCAGCGTGTACTGCAGCAGCATCGCGTGCCATCATCGTCGAGACGCGCTGTACGTCCGCAGATGTCAAGGCATAGTTATGTATATTCCAATGCACCCACGTGTAGTCGCCGATGGAAGCAATTACTCGTAGAATGCGCCTGGGGACTGGAGAAAAATATGCAAATTCAGCGACGGAGCCAGGAAGAGGAGCCGGGGCGAGCGGTACGACAGATCCTTCGTCTTCCTTGATGCTGGCAGCGCCGTCGGGGGTAAATGAGTGGAACATCTTGTAGTGGCCGAGAAGCGGAGACAATAAGCGAGACACCTTTTCAGGAGTGCCGTGCACTTCTTGGAGAGCAGCAACATGTTGAACACGATCGGGAGAAAGAAGAAGACTTTGGAGTAGACGGGCTTTCAAAAGACCACGTTGGGGAGATGACGGTGAAGAGCACGAGCGTTCCAAGAGACGAAGCCAACCGAAGCGGATGATGATCTCCAGGGGAGCAGCATTCTGCTACCCAGACCACGTGACCTGATATACGGGTCGTCGGGCGCGGCGCTCAAACTCAGCTTGAATAGCCTCTTTGTCAACTTGTGCCACAGCCACCTGTTCGAGGTTCCACTGCACGTGGGACGGGTTGTCGCCATTGCGTGGTTCCAATTGCGCCATCGGGACGCCGTCGAATTTGATGACGCCGTCAACCTTCTTCCAATTGAAATGCTTGTTCGGGTACAGGTGCTCAAGAGATCGGATGAGTCGCTTGCCATCGCGTTCCCGTTTCTGCTGACAAGGGTTCTTGTCTTAATCGATGTGGAAGGTCGAAAGAGCGGCACCAGATACAGTCTGATATATCGGGAAAGGCCTCCATTCGCCGTCACTGGATTTAAGCATCTCGCGGGCTTTCCGAGCTCGATTTCTGGAACCCCCAGCGTTGCCCTTGAACTGCACTGTGAAGCGCCTGGAAGTGTCAGGGCCGAGGAGAACAGCCCTGTCATCAGACCCACAATCAGCATCATTGAGCCAAGAACGGATGGCATTATTGATTTCGATCCTGGTCGTGAGCTCCGGCACGTTGAGGCGCAGGATCGCGCTGTTTACTTTCCGGTTGAACTCCGAAAGGTCGAGGGTGTCCTTGATGGGCACGGTGGCCCCCGCCACCGCGACAGCACGCTGCAAGTCTGCAACGATCTTCCTCTGCTCCTCCTGCGCGCGCGCGATCTCAGCCTGAGCCCGGCGAACAGCAGAAAGCTCTTTCTCCACGACCTGGAAGCGACGCTCGGCCTTCTCCTCCGTCGCCTTGACCAGCTTGATAGTGGCAGCCATGGACTTCTCGGCGAAGCCTTTGATGGTCTTGTCCACGTGCTCCAGGATTTCTGTCCGGAAGGCCTCGAAGGGGTCGTCTTCGTCATCGATTGCCGCCTCGGCATCGCCGGAAGCAAGAGCGCGACCACGCTTGACAGCGGAAGCCATCGCAGCAAGGCGTAAGTTGAATATGCAATTGTAATTGTATCTTAGCTGATGGCGGAAATTTCCTCGTGAGGGAAAATGGAATAGCTCTGGCTTGACCACTTGAGCTCTTGAGCCAAAATGGCTTGAGCCAAAATGGCTTGAGCCAAAGTGGCTATGTATGTGTATATATATATAGATCCTTCTACATATATGTGTACGGACATATCTGGAACAAAACGACAACTATGGCATATCTCCAACTACCAATATCAAAATATCATTTCTTCCAGCCCACATTGCGCTAGATGTCTCACATTCTCGCATGTCCGGTTGATTTTACCCAGCCCTCCGAATTTCCGGTTGAAATCTGGAATTCAATATCAGCTGTAAATATCATATTTGCTTAAATTGATCGTTCTACGCTCTGGGTCTTTGACGGTCCCAAGGCCCGATAAGGGTTACAGGGGCCGAAAATGGCGAAACATGTTTTTCATGACCCGACGGGGTCTGGGACGTGAGCCAGGCCCGCCCACAGAGGTCAGAAAGGGAGTCCGAGAGGGCCCCAGGAGACCCCCCAAGACGGCCGAACGCGGTGCACCGAACCCGCCCCCTCGGTGCATCAGTGGGGACTGGCGCACACCGAGCGGAGGAGGGTCGATGGAAGTGGGCGTGGACAGGAGGTGGAGGAGAAGGAGGCGGAGGAGGAGGAGGAGGAGGAGGAGGAGGAGGGAGGAGGAGCAGAAGGGAGAGGAGGAGGAGGAAGAGGAAAGAGGAGGAGGAGGAGGAGGTGGAGGAGGAGGAGCAGGAGGAGGAGCAGGAGCAGCAGGAGGAGGAGCAGGAGGAGGAGGAGGAGGAGGAGGAGGAGGAGGAGGAGGAGGAGGAGGGAGGTCTGGAGTCTGGAGAAAGGTTGGCAGGTCGACGCCCGCCTGCATGCAGGAGGGCAGGAGGAGCGCTCAGAGCGACGTGACCCGGCTCCGGCAGCCCTGGAGGCCCGCCTGCACGTGGTTCTGCGCGCACGGCCCAGGCCGCCTGGCGGCGGCGGGCAGCGACGGCGGCCTGCGCGCCGCGGGCTCGAAGAAGGGCGCCTCGGGCTCTCCGCTGCTGTGGGAGGACGGCTGCGGGCTGCTCTCGCGGGGCAGCACCTCCGGCTGCGCCGCCTGGGCCATCGACGGCGGGAGCGCCAGGGACGCCCGGGCGCCCTCCACCGCCGCCGCAACGGCCTCGGGCGCCACCTGCGCCCTCGCGGGCCGCCGGCCTATCCCGCCCTCGGCGGACGGGCCTGCGGCGGCCTGGCGCATGCTGGTCGCGCGAACGCCTGGCTTGCAGTCCAGGTCCCAGGTGCCGTTCTCGTTCGCCTTGAGCACTCTTGCCGGAATCCACCTCTGGTGCGTGGCCCCGAAATACTCGACCACGTCGCCCACGGCATAGGCGGCGTGCGTGGCCGCTTCACCCGGGCCTGCGGCCGCTGGGCAGCCTGGCGGCGCCGCCGCCGGCGTGATCAGCTCCCGGCCGATGCCCAGAAGCCCGTCCCACATCGTCTGGGCGGAAACCCGCACCTGCGCGGCGTGCATCTGGACGCGCAGCGCGCGCTCGCCTCCGATCCCCGTGCTGCACTGGTCCTCCATGGAGGCCTCCCCGCCGCCTCTGAACAGCGGTGGGTCTGCCACGGAGGACTCTCCGCCGCAGGCGCTGCCGGCGCCGCCGCCAGGGCCCTTGGGCGCTGCGCGGCCGTCGCCCAGCGGACCCGCCGCGCCGGCTGGCTGCAGCGCCGCCTGCCTGCCCAGCGCGGCCGCGCCCAGGCGGAGCCTCTCCAGAGCCCCCGAGGCCGACCTGGAGAGTGCCTGCGGGAACGTGGAGGCGAAGTCCATCGCAGCGGCCCACGCCTCGCCGGCGGCCAGGTACTCGGCCAGGGCGGCGGCGTTGTGCCGCGCGTCGCCGCAGGCCGGGCAGCGCGGGCGGGCGGCAAGCTCCCTCTTGGCGCAGCCGAAGCACACGCTGGCGCTGCACAGCGGGCACACGTGGTTGATTGCGCTGGAAGGCGCCCGGCAGAAGTGGCACTCGGAGCTGCGCCACGCGTCTGGAGGACTGGGGTCGACGGCGCTTTCCGAGGCCCCGGTGTCCACCTCGCCCAGCCTCCCGATGACAGGGTTCTCCACGGCGGCCAGCAGGGCTGCACTCGAGGCCTGCAGGGCCGCCTCCGGGGACCAGGCGGCTGCGATTCGCGACACCTGCTGGGTGATGGTTACGTCGTGGGCTTCGTGCCTGCAGTGGGGGCACTCCGGCCTCGGCAGCCTTCCCAGGCACTCGAAGCACACAGTGTGATGGCACTGCGGGCACACGAAGGCGAAGGCGCCGGAGGCCTGGAAGCAGACCACGCAGCTGGTGAGGCGGTCGTCGGAGGGGTCCAGCACGGGCACACTCTCCCAGCCCTCGGTGGCGATCTGCACCGAGCCCACAGCGTCCACCACGCCCGCAGCCAGCCTCTGGAACTCGACCTCGATGCTGCCGAGGCCCTCCTCGAAGTCTTTCCACAGCAGCAGTGGCTCCGTGGCATCGCTGTGCGCGGCAGTGAACTCGACGGGGTTGAACTGCCGGGGCCGGGAGCTCTCCGCGACGGGCGCCGGGGCCGCCGACGGCTCGCGGAACAGCTCGTGCCGCAGCGCGCGGCCGGCGGAGAGGCGGTGGTGGCGCTTCGGCATGAGGAGCTGCCGAACGAGGTCGCGCGCCACCGCCGTGGGGGCCTTGCGGCCGATTCCTGCGACTTCCCTGACCTTCTGGAAGAGACCGGAGAACATGTCCGCGTCCCACAGGGGCAGGTCGCCGCGAAGCAGCTGCTGGTGAAGCAGCCGCCCGTGCTTGTCCACGAACGCGTACTCGTTGGCCAGGAGGAAGACGAGCACTGCACCAGCGGCCCACAGGTCGACCTTCTCGTCGTACCCGGCGCTTTTCGGGCGGGTGGTAATGGGGGTGACTTACGTGGGCGGCGAAAACACAAGGGCGCTGAAGGGGCCCTCTAGGGCTACCTTGGGAGCCAGCAGGGCTTCAAAGGGGCCCTACAGGGCCCCTTTTGGGCCCTTTTCTTCACCCCCCATTTAGGTCCCCCCACTATAGTCGGGGTTGATTGGAGAGAACACGCAAGAGGACACGAAACCCTTCCGAGGGCCACATTGCCATAGGAATGTCGAAGGCACGGGTCGCGAAAGACAGGACACAAGGGTACCATTGAATTGGCAAGGTCGACTACTGATCAGCCTCGACTGCACCACCCGCCCGAGCTTTTGGCGGGCAGCAGGTGCATCTCTGGCGCCATGAAGGCCGGCGTGCCCACCTTGTCCTTGAGCAGGGCCTCGGCCTCTGGCCGATCCTCGCGCGGTCATGCCACCCGATCGCGTGCTCCGACCGCGGGCCTGACAACGATGGCTACCACGCTGATCGCAGATCGATCACGCGTTCCAGCTCGGACGATCGAGGAGGAGGAGGAGGAAGAGGAGGAGGAGGAGGAGGAGGACGGGGAGGAGGAGGAGGAGGAGGAGGAGGAGGAGGAGGAGGAGGGAGCAGGTGGGGGAGGAGGAGAAGGGGAGGAGGGGAGGAGGAGGAGCAGGAAGCAGGAGCAGGAGCAGGAGCAGGAGCAGGAGCAGGAGCAGAGCAGCAGCAGCAGCCAGCAGCAGCAGCAGCAGGTGGGGGAGGAGGAGGAGGGTGGAGGAGGAGGAGGAGGAGGAGGACGAGGAGGAGGAGGAGGAGGAGAGGAGGAGGAGGAGGAGGAGGAGGGGGAGGAGGAGAAGGAGAAAGAGGAGGAGGAGAAGGTGGGGGGAGGAGGAGGAGGAGGAGGAGGAGGAGGAGAGGAGGAGGAGGAGGAGGAGAGGAGGAGGGAGGAGGAGGAGGAGGAGGAGGAGGAGGAGGGAGGAGGAGGAGGAGGAGGAGGAGGAGGAGGAGGAGGAGGAGGAGGAGGAGAGGAGGGGGAGGAGGAGAGGAGGAGGAGGAGAGGAGGACGAGGAGGAGGAGGAGGAGGAGGAGGAGGAGGTGATAACGCCGAACCGACCACGTGATTGGCGATATCGCGTGATCAACAGACACCGAGGGTAGGGCGTTGTGCTGCATGCGCACGGCGAGGCCGAAATCCCCGAGCTTCACGCGCGCCTGCTCGCTCGCGGCGCCGCCCCCCACGAGCATGGCGTTCTCCGGCTTCACGTCGCGGTGGCAGATGGCCTTCAAGCGCAGGAGCCCCACAAATCCTCTCCTCCCTCCTCTTTCCTCCCTCCTCCTCCTCCCTCCTCCTCCTCCCTCCCCCCCTTCTCTCCCCCTCCCCTCCCTCTTCCTCCTCCTCCTCCTCCTCCTCCTCCTCCTCCTCCTCCTCCTCCGACTGCTCTTGTCTCACGTGGAGAGGAGCAGGTCACCCTTGAATGGACGACCTCTCACCTTGACCTCGAGGCTGAGGGCCTCTCAGATCATCAGGTCTTGCTCAGGGCTGGAAATCATCTGGCTGTCATTGCGGCCTCAGAGGCCGCTGAGCGCTCCTGGGGGCTTTCGGCCCGTTTCGATCCCGGGACCGACTTTTCGGATGCGCAGACCGCCCTAATTCGGCGCGCCAGGAGGAGGAGGAGGAGGAGGAGGAGGAGGAGGAGGAGGAGGGGGAGGAGGAGGAAGAGGAGGGGGAGGGGGGGATGATGATGATGATGATGATGATGATGATGATGATGATGATGATGATGATGATGATGATGATGATGATGATGATGATGATGATGATGATGATGATGATGATGATGATGATGATGATGATGATGATGGTGATGATGATGATGATGGTGATGATGATGGTGATGATGATGATGATGAGGAGGAGGAGGAAGAGGAGATCAAGTTCTGGAGGGGGCCGATATGTTGGGCCCCGTTGTATGAGTTGTTGTGCTAGAAGAACGTTCCAGGTTGGCATGAGCATCAGAAGAATTGTTTGAGAGCAATGATTTCGAATGACTTCTGGAGTCAAGAGCGCATCAACTCGCACGCCAAGGAAGCTTCATGGGAATGCCAGCTGTGTCTTGGGGCGCCAGGTACTACTTTCCACCGGCGGTTTGAGTGCCCTGCCCATGAAGTTTGGCGACGCGAATATCTTGACGACTGGGTTCGCTTAGCCTCATCACGGATTGCTTGTTTATCGTTGGACTACCAGGAGCTGTTCTGCCGTGGTCTCTTTCCTGATCCTGGTCGTTTTGTGTCGGCCTGATCGGATTGGGGAGGATCCCTGCACCCAGCGGATCAACTGGCCAAGGGAGGGCATCTTTCTCCAGGCGGACCAGCATGTGTACACTGACAGCGAAGGTTACGAGATGCTGTGGCCATCCTTGCGTGTTGCAGGGTGGTCGGTTGCAGCGTCAGACTGCAATGGTGAAGTGGTTTCAGCTCTTTATGGAGTGGTGCCTCTTACCGAGGCGCCAGATCAGATTGCAAGAGATGGTGAAGATTCTACTGTATTGATGCTGTCGAGGAATTCTGCTGCGGCCCACGGGGCTACAGTGCATGTGCATTGTTCTGGTATTCTGGGTTGTTCTCGGTGGCTTGGAGGCTCGTACCTGTCTTGGGCTTCGGAGCAGAGGGTCCACTGGTGGGGCGAGATCGGTGACCGTATGCAGGGAGTCAAGTTTGAGAAAGTGAAATCTCACATGCCCTATTATGCGGTTCGCAAGGAAAGATTTGCCATCGTGACTGGAGAGGAAGCCAGGAGGCGGATCGGCTTGCGAAAGAAGGAGCTCAACAGTTCCGAGCGGATGACGGTGATCTTATGTTGTTGGAAGGCCTGCACGAGATTGCGAAGCGGGTCGCCAGGTTCGGGAGTTTGCAGCAGGCCGTCTTGTCCGATGTGGAGTACAGAGACCACGTGGGCTTCGAATGGATGAGTAAAATTGAACGCGTTCCTCATGATAGGCTTCCTATTCCTGCGTGTTGCGACTGTGAAGCCCCTGTGGAGTCGAACCCCGAAGTCTTGGAGCCTGATGAGGTCGTCTCGGAGTCTTGAGTGTGGGATGGGCACTCTATTCGGAAGGCGGCGGTTTTTGACGACAGGGTCCAGGTTGACTCGATGATGTGTTGCGTTAGCTGCGGCAGCAATGTGTCTTGGGAACATCGGGTTCATTCGAAGTCGAGGTGTAAACTCAAAGTGATCTGCAGACCCAAAACGGTTACGGATGGTCGGAATATGTCCAGGATCGTGAGGGGTCTGCACCCTTTAGCCTCGTCGAGTCTCAAGGTTCAGGAGGCCGGTGGCCTGAAACAGTTCGAGAAAGACTTGTGGCGGCCCTTCCTTGAGGACTCGGCCGAGTCCCGTAGGTTGAGGCCCAGGCTGCAGCTCGCCCGTCAAATTCGAGGTTTCAAACGAGGAGCGAGGCCCCTGGGATTGACCTCGTTCGAGGTCTGGCCCTTGTTGGCCTGCCCGAGGAGGAAGCGAGGGCCTTGGGGCGACAGGCCCGCGAGCGGGCCCGCCCTCGTTCGGTGGAGGAGGATGAGCTCCTCCCTGATGGGCCATGACGGCCCGCGCCCGTTTTGGCGCCGCCCGACGCCCCCCTCGCGTCATGGGTTTTTGTCCTCTCTGCGCATGCGAATGAGGTAGCACCCTTTCTGCGGTAGAACTAGCGAGGAGGAGGAGGAGGAGGAGGAGGAGGAGGAGGAGGAGGACACGACGCGGAGGAGGCCTCGTCCCTGGCCGATCCCAGGAGGGCTCGGCTCGGGCCCTCGGCTGCCCCCCCCTCGGAGAGAGCGGGGCGAGGGGTCGGCGCTCGCTCGGGCGCGCTGCGCGCGTCGACCCCGCACAGCTTCGCGGCACGCGGCAGCGCCTCTCGCGGCGGAGTCTGCGGGGGCGCTCTGTGGCGAGGAGGGTCTCTCCTCTTATGAGGAAGCAACTACTGTTGTGTCGGGCGTGTCCCCCTACAGGGGGATCTTCGACGACAAAATTCAAAATACACCAACAATACACCAAAAAGGTCAAACAAACACCAAACAACTAATCCCCTGATTATTTTTTGACTAGTTTTAGATTATGTGTGGGGTATTTTTTCATCGAAAATCCCCATGTATGGGGGACAGGCCCGACTTAAAACTCCTGGGATTTTTTCGTCGGAAAGATTCAAGAAGGATTGAGCCCCATTTGGGAGCTATCTTACGCTGGAGTGGGCCTCGGACCCAGCGGGATGAAGCCGGATTGAGCGGCATTAGGCGGGAGCAAGCCGGATGAAGCGGGAGTAAGCCGGATTTCGGACCAGGGCGAAAACAGAATTTGACCTCCCAGGAGTTGCTTCCAAAATCTTAGAGGTCTCCAAGGCTCCGTGCGTCCCTGCCGCGGGGTGGACCCCTTCCCTTCGGACGTCGTTGTCGAAGTCCATGGGCCTGTCTCGGTTTCTGGTGCGGCCCTAAGCATCCTTCGCACAAGCTGGCGTTCTTGGATTTGCATAGCTTGTACTTTTGCCAGGTTTGTGGCCGCACGGCTACTTCGGATGGGCGCCAGTTGGTGCCCGTGTGCTTTGCGCCCTCTGGGAAGGGCCTCGAAAATCTTGGCAGAATCCGCTCCCTGCGACGTCCGGAAACAAACCGCGTACGGCCCTGCGTAGCCTGGAAACAAACCGCGTACGGCCCTGCGACGTACGGCCCTGCGTAGCCCGGAAACAAACCGCGTACGGCCCTGCGTAGCCCGGGCTAGCAGGGCCGTACGGCCGTGCGTAGCCCGGAAGCCTTGGACGTCCAAGGCGAGCTCCCTGCTGCGCCGCGCTCGCATCGCGGCCGTGGCAGATCAGCAGGCGCGTGCGCGGGTGTGCCGTTTGAAGGCTGAGCGCACTGTGCTTGCTGCTCCCTTCCCTTCCCCCTCCCTTCCCCTCTGCACGACGTTGCTTGCCAAAACGTTCCAAAACGTTCCTCCTCCTCCTCCTCCTCCTCCTCCTCCGCCTCCTCCTCCTCCTCCTCCTCCTCCTCCTCCTCCTCCTCCTCCTCCCCCTCCTCCTCCGACGCTCCGGTTTTTGGCCGTCTTCGGCATCCAGGGGCCCTCACTGGGCCTCCGCCGTCAAAACACGGCCCGGGACGAGAAAGCGGCCCTGGGGAAGTGGTCCGGACCTCCGGGGCCCACGCGTCGAAAACATTGGAGCGGCCGGACGTCTGGGGATGGCCTTCGAGTGCAGGAAGGCGATTCCCTCCAGGAGCTGTTGCGTCAGGCGGGCGACCTGGCGCTCCCCGAGCCCGTCCTTGCCACTCTGGGCCGCGCCGTCGAGGCTGCCGCCGTCGCAGAACTCGAGGATAAGGTAGTAGGCGGTGCTGGTATCCACAAAGCTGAGCAGCCGTACGAAGCGGTCCTCGGACGCGCACTCGCGCATGAGCCCCACCTCGCTCGCGATCATGCTCACGGGCACCTTGAGGTCCCGCATCCTCCGCTTGTCCAGGGCCTTCACGGCCACCGCACCGCCGCCGGCCTTGAGCCTGCCGCGGTACACGGTGCCGAAGGAGCCCTTGCCCAGGGGCTTGCGGCCGCGCTCGATCTCGCAGACGTCCTCCAGGCGGCCCCCACGCGCCGCCAGGCGGCGCAGTTCCGCGGGCGCGGCCTCGCCCGGGGCGACGAGGGCCTGGCCCTGCCCCATCGGCCCTGCCCGGTGCTGCCCTACCGGCGCGCCATGGCAGGGGCCCCGCGGGCGGGCGGGGCCGCCGAGGGGCGCGCGGAGCGCCTGGCCGCCCCGCCCTTTGGGCCCCCGGGCTTGAGCCAAAATGGCTACGGATAAGAGAAGAGCACCATGGGCGCTTCGGGCCTCTCGGTTCGCTGGTGCGTGGAAGGCGTCGGCGAGCCACGCCCGCTCACATGCCAACGTAGGATAAATGGCTACGGAGGAGGAGGAGGAGGAGGAGGAGGAGGAGGCAAGAGATTGGGGGAGGGTGTGGAGGTCCAAGTATAAGTGACCCTCTGGGAGGGCACGGGCCGGGCCACCTTGCACAGGACCTTCGGTGAGGGCGCTCGAGCAATAGATGGGCATCGGCACACTGGCCCTGGAGCTTTAACCTGTTAGAATACAGTCAGAAATATGATTACGAAAAGTATTAGTTAAGCAAGCTGGGCCAACTTTTCGGGGGGAGGTTTCTTAATCATAAGCGGGACCGTATCAGGGCAACCCCACAGGCAGCCAGCCCGCCGCCTAACCTCATCGGCATTCGGCGCAACAGCGCGCCATGTCGCAGCAGGATCTGGGAGAAGCTTGAGGTGAGGCGGTGTTGAGAAACCTTGACGATGTGCGCTCATCTATGCCCTTGCGGGCTTCTCCACTTTCCCGCCTGGGTCCCCGTCTAGAGCCCTGCTGAGCACGCACTGCTCGCATCAGCATGCTGTGCTCATGCATGCTCTCCCTTTTTTTACAAACCATCCTGTGGTACTCGGTCCTCGTTCTGAAGAGACAGTGCCCCGCGTCTCCTCTCCTCTACGTACTCTCCCCTCCCCACCCCTCCTCTCCTCGCCTCTCCTCTCTCCTCTCCTCTCCTCTCCTCTCCTCTCCTCTCCTCTCCTCTCCCTCTCCTCCCATCCCTGCCGCTGCCCTCCACATGTCGACAATTTCGGCACACACATCTCACAAGCTTCGAGGCCCCAAAGGGAGCTCCACCGAAGGCACCAGTGGCGCAGCCCACATACGCTCCAGCCACTCATTTCGGCACACCCCTCACACGTTTCGTGACCCGAGCTCCACCGAAGGCCCCAGTGGCGCAGCCCGCATGCGTCCTAGCCACCCGTTTCGGCACATGTTTCGTGGCCCCATCGTGAGCTCCACCAAAGGCCCCAAACGCGCATCCCGCATGCGTCCAAGCCGCCCATTCCGGCACACTCCTCACACGCTTCGTGGGGAATATCCACCAAAGAACCCAGTGGCGCAGCCGGCAAGCATCCCAACCACTCATGTCGGTACACCCCTCACACGCTTCGCGGCCCCGTAAGGAGCTCCACCGAAGGCTCCAGTGGCGTTGCCCGCATGCGCCCAGGCCACTCATTGCGGCGCACCCCTCACACGCTCCGTGGCCCCATAGAGAGCTCCACCGAAGGCTCAACTTGCGCAGCCCGCATGCGTCCCAGCCACCAGTTTCGGCACACCCCTCACACGCTTCGTGGCCCAATAAAGAGCTGAAGGTCGGCCCGCATGCGTCCCTGCCGCCTACTTCGTCAGACACCCCTCGCACGCTTCGTGGCCCCACAGGGGCTGCGGCCCCGGAGGCAGCGCCCGCATGGCGGGCCCGCCCTAGTTCGGCACACACCCTTCCTTCACGCACTCCGTGGCCCCAGAAGGAGATCCACCGAAGGCGATACTCCTAACGACGGCACGCACAACCGCATGTGGTTGGGTCTCTCGCAAGGCCAACTTTCAGCACGCGCGTTCAGACAAGGCGGCTCTCGCAGGCCTACGCTGGTGCAACGAAAAGGAGGCAAGAGGGCTCACGAGCCAGGCCCCACTGGCGAAAGCGGCGCGAACGACGCGGGCTCGGGGCCGCCGCCTCACTCCAGAGCGGCCTTGGCACCGGCCTCCTCCAGCTGCTTCAGCGCCTCCTCGCAGATGTCCTTCGGCTTCGCCTCCAGCAGCTTCCCTGGGCTGTCCACCATCCCCTTGGCTTCCTCACGAGCGGCGAACATGTCCGCATCCGCGCCCTCACGGTCTGGATTCCAGGGCGCAATCCCGCGGACACGCGGTCGTACGGATACGTTCCGCGCGCGGCATCCGCGAAAGCACGCCCCATATCAGTGGGGTCGTGGCCCAGGGGCCCGGCCCGCGAGGCTGCGGGCACGGATGGTCTGCTCTCCGCCCACGACGTCCTTCAGGCCGAGCCCCGTGATCGAGCGGACCACCTTCAGGATGGCGATCTTCTTGTCCTTCGGCACCTCCTTCAGGACGAGGTCAAACTCGGTCTTCTCCGCGGGCTTCTCGTCCGCGGCCCCGTCGCCGCCCGCGGCCGGCGCCGCCATCATCACCGCACCGCCCGAGGCCGACGCGTCCACGTCGAACGTGTCCTCGATGGCCTTCACGAGCTCCGACGCCTCCAGCAGGGTGAGCTCCTTCAGCGACTCGACGATCTTGTCCACCTGGAGGGGGCAACCCAAAAGACCGACATGCCGCTGCACTCCAAATCCCTCATTCATCGTCCCCCGGGTCCGGCTTATCAAGGTGCCTTTTGTTGTAACTGGGGGGTCCAGTGAATTAGGGTGCTTTCTTTAGATTGGAGCTCAGGGGGTCCGGTTTATGAAGGCGCCCGGTCGAAGAGAGGGTCCGGAATATTAGGTCGCATTTGGAGGGTGGTCCGGTTTTTTAGGGGGGGTGGATTAATAAGGGATTTGGAATACTCCCTGGATCCCTCCAGGGATGCGCTCGACCAGACCTTCGAGGAGAGTCCGGCTGTGGCGCCGAGGGCTCTCCAGGATGAGCAGGGTCATCGGTACGGTCGGGGACTGTTGACTAGCGTGTCGCCACGGCGGTCCTGGCGACATGCCATCCCCTTCGAGCGGATAGCGTGTTGCTCCGCTCCGCGGGGTGGGAGGCTCGGGAAAGCTCGAGACTTTTACGCCTCGTGGCCGCGAAGTGAACAGCGTGCCGCACCGAAGCGTGGAAGGCCAGGATCGGCGGAGCGACACGCTATCCAGAAGTTCCCGCTCACATCTTTTCCTCCTCAAGAGTCCACCTGTGGGGCGGGGATGTATCAATCTCCACTGCCTGGGAGCCGACGTCCTGGTGCCCCAGCGGGCGGTGAATCTGGATATGTATTTTGGCCGCCAGAAGAACCGACCCTGTCCGTATCCACCGCCTGTGAAGGTCCGCGAAGGTCGACCCCCCAGGCGGCGGCTTGATCTCGAGACTGCGAGCAGCTAGAGAGGTTCCATGTGTACCAATAACTCCAGTAGCATCGGAAGCATTAGTCTAGAGGCTCAAGAAGCCTGACATCGGTCTGCTCCTCGAGCTATGGCCGAACCACTGCTCACACCAGAAAACATGGATTCTATATTCTACCCGCCCGTGCAAAAAGCAACTGGTGCTTTTCTACACACCTCCCCCACCCCCACCCCCCCAATTTCAGTGTTCAATGCGGTGCCGACTCTTTTTTCGAACTTCGCCGGTCGCGCGATCAACACTGAAATTGGGGGCCGGGGGGCTCACCAAACACCAGGCTCTTCGCACGGGGGTTCTGGTTTTGAGGTCGAGCAGGCTGGCAGAACGAGCTGCTTCTCGCACGGGGGGTGTGGTTTTGAGGTCGAGCAGGTCGGCAGCACGAGCTGCGAAACACACGGGCCCCTCACCCGGACCACCTTTTCGGACTGCCTCGCGATCAGATGGGCGCGGGGCGGCGCGCGGCGCGTGAGCTGCGCGCCCGCGAACGCCCCCGCCGGGGCCGCCGCCGCGAGGCGGCCGGCGGGGGGGGCCCAGAGGCGCACGGCGAGCGCCAGCGCGGCGGCGGCCAGGGCCAGCACCAGCCGCGAGCTGCCGCTGCGGCGCGCCATGGTCGGCGTCTGCCCCCACCTGCCTCGGGCGCCAGCACGGCTGCGGAGGGCTCCGCGGAGGGAGGCGAGGGGAGCGAGGGAGGGAGCGAGGGAGGAGGGCGCGCCCTGGATGGCGTCGGGGGGCCCTCCTTCAGCGCCGTGAGGGCTTCGGGGGGGGGGGGGGCCGCGGGCAGGAGGGGGCGCAGGAGGAAGAGAAGGAGCAGCGGAACAGGGGAGGACATGGGAGGAGGCTTCCAGCGGCTGCCGAGGGGTCTCGGAGGCCCTACAAATGGTCCGTGGGGGATCCTTGGAGGGGACCACCTCTTCATCTTCCTCCTCCTACTCCTCTTCAACCTCCTCTTCTTCCTCCTCCTCCTCCTCTTTATGCTTCTCCTCCTCCTCCTCCAACTCCTCCTCTTCCTCCTCCTCCTCTTCCTCCTCTTCCTCCTCTTCCTCCTCCTCATCATCAGCATCATCATCAACAACATCATCACCATCACCGTCGCCATCATCATAATTATCATCAGCAGCATCATCCGCATCAGCCATCATCATCAGCATCATCATCAGCATCATCATCATCAGCATCCGCATCAGCAGCATCATCATCATAATCATCATCATCATCATCATCATCATCATCATCATCATCATCATCATCATCATCATCATCATCATCATCATCATCATCATCATCATCATCAGAATCAGCATCATCGTCATCATCAGCATCATCATGATATTCCTCCTCCTCCTCCTCCTCCTCTTCAACCTCCTCCAGTTCCTCCCAATCCTTTTCCTCCGCAACTGCTGTGGCTCAAGATGCATGTTTGCCATGGAAAAAATTGAATACCGCCAGTGTGCGAACAAGATTCGACTGCTTCGGTGAGATCCTGGAGGAATAGGCGGGAGCGGCATGTCGGGTCGGGGAGCTGGGCCGCCCAGCTGGCGCTGCTCCTGCTGCAGCTACAGGAGCCTGGGCTTCCGTGGCCAGTGCAGTCAAGCTGGCTGCACGGGCTACCGCACCAGCGCACGCGTCCCCCAGGCCAAGGCCAAGGCCAAAGCTGGCGGTGCGTCTGCAGGTGGTCCTGGCGATGCCGGCAGTCCTCCTCTGGCGGCCAAGGAGGCGGACGTGGAGGTGCAGGACGGGGTGCGCTTAAGGCAGTGGCACTCTCGGACGCTGCGCGAGCCATGTACATGCAGACGTCGGGTGAGCAATTCGACGAGTTGTCCAGGCCTCTCGCGTGGACCGACAAGCAAGGCCTCGTCCGCACTCGGTTTCTATCACGCCAACTGCTTGGTGAGCTCAGCACCGTCAAGTCGGTCAAGTCGGCGCGGGTGGCGGCGGACGAGGCGCGGCGACGTCTCCACCGAACAGAGGGCTACGAGAAGAAGCAACAGCCAGCCTGCTCAGGAGGCACTCCTTGCAGCCTCCGAGCAGGAGCAGCTCGTGGAGGAGCTCCAAACCCAGACCCCCAACGTCATGATTCCTTCATTACGTCGACCCGCCGAGATCTCGACCTATTCCCCGGGACCGGTTTTTCATCCCGAGTAGTCTTTTGACGGCCCCGAGGCCCGGTAAGGGCCCCCAGAGGCCGAAGATGGCGAAACACTTCCCGTCATGATCTTTTCATGACTCGAGGGGGTGTGGGAATCGAGCCCGGCCTGGCGGTGGAGAAGGCCAATGGGGGAAGGGGAGGCTGGAAGCTCTGACGAGGGCGACGCCGCTCCGCCCATCGCCCGCCGCCGCTCGGCTCAGGTGCACCGGGGCACGGCGAAGAAGCCGGCCGCGGAGTGGGCCAGCGGCGTCGGCGTGGGCGAGCTCGCAGCGCCCCGTGCAGCGAGCGGCTGCTCCGGGAGTTCTCCGCGCGGACCTCCGCGGGCGCGGCGGCCGCGGCCGCGGCCAAGCGGCAGCCACTGGCTGCCTCCTGCCGCGGTGGCTCCCGGAGGAGGCGCAGCCGCCGAGCCCGACGCTGGCGGAGCGAGCCGGAGCTGCGGACCCCACCGAGGGCATCTCCATGGGGGCCTGCTTCGCGGACAGCTCCCGGGAGACGGCGGTCGACGGCCTCGGTGGTGGCGGTCAGAAGATGCGCGAGTGGCTCGAGGAGTCCACGGAGCACTGCAGGGAGGCGGACCGCGCGAAGGAGGCGCGGTCGGGGCAACCGGGCGCAGACGCGGCCGCTCGCCATTCTGAGTTTCAACGCTCCACCTGGACAAGTGTGTGGGCTCGTAGTTGACAAACTGTGCTGTCGTTCCAGGAGGACTAGGCTTTCCCGGAAGCGCAGGGCGGATGAGGAGGCTGAGCTGCGACGACGTGGCTGGCGAGCTTGCAGTGCAGAGGCAGAGCCTTCGCAGGCTGGGGGGCTTACGTCATATAAACTGCTGCCGTCTGTTCGTGGGCAGGACGGGTTGGCTACCATGTCGGCCCGAAGACTGCCGTACTTTGCCAAGGGCGTGTGCAGCTACATCATCATCCAGGGGTGACTCGAGGTGGACTCGTTGTTGTGAATTAGCACATAGGATCTGGAGTGAGAACGAAGTCATGCAATGTTTATGCTCTCAGTGAGCTGGCGGGTCGACTGCGTGGATATGGGCTGCCATACGTGGTCGGCGGTGGCATCAACGTTAACGAAGGCTGCGCTGGAGCAAGAGTGGCGTGCTGCGCTAGTTCGACGCGGTGGTGGCCAGCACCTTGTATGGCGACGTGCGCGCAGTCCCAGCGCTCTATCAACCTGTTCATGGTGCCAGGAGGCTTGCGTGTGGTAGCCGTGCAAGAGGGCTGCATGCTCTCCCGTCTTCCCGCACAGACCAGTGGTGCTGACCGTCGAGGCCAGCAAAAAGCACCCTCGTATCCGCGTCATGGACGTGCCTCGGCCCTTCCTAGTGGAGAGGCCTGTGGGGTGCTGGCCGTCGGACCGTGCCTGTTGGCTGGTGGCGTGCGGCCGAAGACGCTGGCCGTTGACTTGGTGCTCAGCGTCCCGATGCTGCGGAGACTGGTGGTGCTGAGCCTTCGGTCTGAGATGGGCCGGAACAGAAGGGCCCACATGCTGCATTGTTTTCCTTCGCGGGGTCGACTGCTACTGGGGCACCGACCGTGGTGGAAGCTGGGGCGGCTGCTGGTGCCAGCAGCATACGAAGCAAGCTCACGCGCGCGGTGCGGTGCTTCATCGGCCAGGCTGAGCGGGAGCGGGCGGACATCTACCACGTGGATGACGAGGCCAAGAACACTGGCCGTGGCGGTGCTGCGCAGCCTCAATGAGTCCAACGGCTACCTGTTCGCGCTGCTCGTTGGCCTCGTGCGCCCACGGAGGCGACCTGGTTATTCCGCGCAGCGGCCTGCGTCGAGGACGTCGCCGACGTCGGCCAGGTGCAGCGGCGCCTGTACGCAATGCCAGGTCTGCGCAGCCTGCTCGGGAGAGCGCCGCAGCTCGTGGAGGTGGTGTCTGGCGGGAACGCGAGGTCGCCCTGCCCCGAGTCTGTCTCAGCTGCGAGCCGCCGGCGGCTGCTACTCAGCCATGCGCGTGCTGAACGCGTGGATCCTGAACGACGGGCTGCGCTGGGGCGCAACTGCCACGATGATGCCGTGAAGCTCTCCGACAGTGACCATGGCCGCAAGCGAGACTCGCTTCAAGGAGCGGATCGAGCAGCAAGCAGCCAGTGGAGGCGGAGGGCTGCATGCATTGTCCAAGGTGCCCGTCGGCTTCGTGGATAGCTCCTACGCGAAACCCAGCGGCGCCGTCGAGGACGATACCGTGGTCGAGCTACCCGGCTGCACTCGCAACGCGTTCGAGCCCATGGACCCTGCCCAAGAGATCGCGTGGCAGAAGTGGTGGCGCACAAAGGCGGAGCAAGCCCAGCTGCATTGGCCTGCTGACCTGGTGAACGCCCCCCCAGGCTGAGTGTTGCTGAGCTGTAGAAGGTGGTGCGGTCATTACGAAAGCCTCGGCCTTTTTTGGTAGGTGGATCTCTCAAGCTCTCCGCCGCCTCTGGCGGTGTGCGCTGCGAGCAGGAACGCAGCAAGGCCACATGAAAAAGCGCGGCATTGACAGTGTAGCTCCGCACACGTGACAAATCTTAACGAGCAGGAGCACAGCAAAGCCCCGGCAGTTCGGCAGTTCGAAGAGCTGTGCGACGAGGCGCGGGAGGTGTGGTCCTCGAGGTCCCCGTGGCGGTAGGGCGCGGTCCGAACTGGCATGAGCTCACCACCAAGGTCTGCTTCACCCAGAAGCGCTTTGGGGGAGGTGCGGTCCATTGCGCTCGTCCTGTCGCCTGCGAGTATCCAAGCACGGACAAGGGCATGTTGCTCGTGATTTGGAGCAGCGCAGCGACAGGCCCTACATGGTGGGCGATGGCCGGTCGCAGCTGCGAGCGTGTGGTCTGGCACCAGCCCTGCCGTTCGCGAGTGTGCCGCACAGCGAGGGAAGGGTTCTGACGATCCTGAAGCCTGGGTGGCAGTGGCGGTGCTGCTGGACCTGCTCAAGGCCTTCGATCAAGTGCGCCACCACTGGCTTCTGGAGGCGACGCAGGAGTCTGGCTTCCCCGTTTGGCAGCTCAAGCTGCAGACCCGGACCTGTACTGCGTGCCGAGAGGTCTCCGCCTGGACAGTGCCACTTCGGACGAGATCCTGACGAGGCGTTCGGTGCTGCCTGGTGATGGCTTCGCCACGTGCCTCCTGAAGCTCATGCTCATCGCCCCACTGGATCGCTTGACGACAGCCAATCGCACGATCTCTTTGGCGGTGGTGGTGGACGACCTCCTGCGGCACAGACTTGGTGGTATGGTACCGGTCACGCATGAAGCTGCGGGCGCTGCCTTCCAGCTGAAGCCGCCGTTTCTTGAGGTGGACCACAACATGGCGGTCAAGAAATCCCGTGCGCTATCCAATGCGCCGGGTGCGCGCGCTGAGCCTCAAGCTCGGCTCTGGAGGCCCCCTTGGCGCGAAGGCCGCGCGCGGTGAGGGAAGCCTCGACGTGGACGCTGCGCGCGGCAAGAAAATGGTCGAGAAAATCAGGCAGGACAAG